TTGGAACATCCGTCAGGCGGCGTTCGAATTGTCACTCTTGGACTTTTCGTGGGGTTAAATGGAGTTAAAGTTTTTTTCCGAAGAGGTGGCTTGTTGGCCTCTTCAGAAAACTCGCGCCTCCTCCAAACTCCTCGACCTCGTTCATGGGTAGGGGTGGAATAGCTCAGAAGAGCTTGGAAAATTCCCACGAAAACTGCCTTTCGCATGCATTTTCACTTGGTGGTACGTTCCGAAAATCTCAATGCCATGAGGATTCCATTGTCAATGGTGAAGCTGACAGCAACTGTTCTATTTGGGCATACTTAAACCCATCTCTTCCCAGGTGCTTCTCGAAAGGTTGGCGAGGACAATTTGAATGACCCCTAATGTATGCCTTTCAAGCATTCACTCCAACTTACTTCTCAGTCAGATACGACAGAGAAACGTGATGCAGCCTGCAAGTGACAAAACACAGAAAAATCACCACAAGTATCAGCAACAGCAAGATTCTGTGTAGAGATTTAAAAAAAATGCTACAACACTAAGAAAGTTCTGCTCTGTTCTCAGTTCTTGCTTATACATGTACATCGCGGTCTCACTGCACTATCTTTTGGCTGACCAGCTGAAACGCTTTGTGCGCTTTTGGCTGAGTGTCTGCCAAACCTAACTAGTTACATTCTCAGCGCCAGCTGAATGGCTGACAAGTGTTCACGGGTTTTCAAATTATTCAAATTCTCTGAATACACTCCTATGAAACAGATTCCTTGTTTCGAGATTGCTACCGATATGCGCTCTTTCACAAGTTTTCTAAAGGAAAAGGACAGCGCCAACCATTGCTCTGGTACCAGCCACAACCATTGCTCTTCTGCAACGGCTGCTTAGGCTTTCCTGAGCTGACGACGATTGTCAAACTCCTATTTTTGACGTTTCCGGTCTTCAGAGAACGATTTTCAGTTTCAAAACAGGTCTTGCCTCCGGTCGCAGAGTCCATGTGTCGGTAGCTGTGGTGGAAAGGATGCTCGCATTGAAAGTTTAAAGGACTTGAAAACATCACGGGAGAAAGACAGCCCAACTGAAAAATGGACGATCGATCAAAACTCAATGAAAAACATGACCAAGACGCTGCTGCTGAATGCGTCGGGTGGAATTCAGCCGGACGTTTTTAGGCTGAAAGACGCTCAGCGGAAAAGGAGGAAGCTTTCCCGCGGGTCTTCGGCTGAATGGCTGAAAGTGTGCAGCGTCACTGTGACGGCCTACACAAGACACTACACAGGATACAATATAAACAAGGCACAGCAACCAACCTACCACAACCAACCAGTTTACTATGAACGGACCCAACCCACCACTACCGACCAGTTTGCTGTGGACGGACGCTATCACGTACAAAACAGACTGTGAAAGAAGAAGTGCTGCTTTCTCTTTAGTTCTCTGGCAGGTACAAGCTCTAGAAATGATATTCGAATGCGGATACTTATGCAGTTTTATTGCACTTATGCCTACAATGCGCAAAAGCCGGCACAGCCAAGAGGTAACCAAAGAAACAAACATGTGCTCTCAACGCTCTCAACATTCAAACAAAATGAAACACCAGTACAAATGATACACAAGGAAGCTTATCGTACCTCTGCTGAAAGCCACTGGACGTAGCGCTTTGTGGCTGGATAAGAAATTGCACACATGACGGCGAGGAGCTCTCGAGAGGAGCCTGGTCCATGTCGAAATTGCTGAAAATTCAATAACCAACTTCACCTGCACATTACAGTTGGAAATTCGTGTGCAACACTAAGAGCTTGAAAGCTTCGCTGCTAGCGAAACCTGCCAGCCAAACTAACTTGTGAAAGCAGACTTCTTGAACAGTGCAAGACCAAATAATTCAGCCACCATGACGGTGTCTAAAGCTCATTGAAAAAGCCAACTTCCCTGATATCACTCAGCTCAGCCTCAGGTCAGGATGAACAAGGAAAATGATAGACATGATTCAGGTGCATGCATTTTATAACCTAACATTTTCGTGCAAAATTCTTTGAATGGATTATGTCATCGGCTTAGCGCTGATATGTTGATGGACATGCATGCATGCAAGAGTACATGAAAAGGTTTTCATGTACTCTTTCTTGATGCATGCTGTGTGCACATGTGAACGTGATACATGTAGGGTCTACATGTAAAATAATTATTTCTATTTTTATTTGTTATACCATAGCCGCATAATAGTAGATGTCTACATAGGCTAGGCTATGCATAATCCCCATCTTTTCCCTTGCCTGTATTTCACCTGATGAGAAGGCTTGAAAGTATACTTGTGAAGACAAAAACTTCTGCTCCTCATGCCATCTGTAGGTCGCAGAGAGGGACTTAGTCATGCAAGAGCCTCGGACGCGCAGGGATAGAAAACATATTTAAAAAATGCATCCTCTTCAACCAGAGGCCCCTCCCCTTGACATCCAGTCTGACCTGAGGCAGGGTCATTGTTGGCGGCCCTTGGAAGTTAAGAGCTTCACCAGCAAGGGGTTGAAGGACAAGCTCCGTCTCCACAGCATTGCACACTCTGCCAAGAAGGCCGGCAATGTAGTCCCGGACATGGTCAGTGTGGCGGATGGTGGGGAAGTATGCATATCATGGCATGGTCGGTGATGAAAGGCACATCACCCAAGTAGGTGTCCGGGATACCAAGAACAGGTCACCCGTAGCGTGCAGCAAGAGCATCCTGGCCTGGAATGACCTCCTGCCGAGGCTGAAGCCGTGTGCAGCGATGGGCAGGCATGACAGCCACGAGCTGGCACCACGGTCGCAACTAGCTTCCAAGGAGCGCTGCTCATGGTCGCTGAGGTCTGCACTGACGGGAAAAAAAGCAGTGTCGGACCACAGGGTGCGGAGTTTGGCACGGCCCTGTAGCTTGGCATTGCGCACGGTGTCCTCGTCAGTGGCCAGCAGTAGGGACTGGCGCATGATGTTGGCCTGGAGCTCACTAGTGACTGCTACTGATCGTACTGGAGTGGAGCGATAGACAAGGGGGACAGTAAACCAAGACCTCCAAGGCGAGGGGGCAGGGACAGCAGCTGGCGCAGTGTGGGAGATGGAGGAGCAACGCCTGTAACACCTGGGATGAACTCCTGGACGGTGACAGACTCCAGAGCAGGGAGTCGTATTATACCAAAACGACTCCCTGCTCCAGAGCTTTAAAGTCGGCAATGTCATCAGGTGTGGTTCGCATAGCATAGGTCCACCTGTGACGCAAACCGTGCGCAAACGCGGCGCGGGCAGACTGGGGATCAGTCTTTGCAAACTCTGTGAGCACTCTAAGCTGGCTGCACCATTCCTCCCGTCTAGCTGAGAAATGTCGTCGCTGGAACTCCTCTGTGCCGATGGCAGCGCCGATGTATGGCCGACCCTCTGCAGTGATCTTAATGCCAGTGCCGGAAAAGACCTCCCGGGCCTCTTGCAAGCTGGATGGCTTGATTGGCTTCACCACTACTGTCTAGCCATGTCTTGGCAGCATTCGGGTGATATCCAAAGACTTTTAAAAGGTGGCCCTCTGAGCTTTGGGGGTCAAAAAACCGACTTTCTTGGATTGCTCCCAAAGTGCAGTCAAATCCTTCCTATATCATCCAAGAACACACAAAAAAATTGAGGGCGATATTCAAAGCCGTTCCGGAGATATAGCCGCCTGAACATAGGTGAATACATGTGAAATTTCGAAATAATAATAGTAAATTCCAATAATTGCAAGTTGGTTTAAAAATTTCATACAGACATACACACAAACGCGCGCGCGCGCACACACACACACACACACACACACACACACACACACAGGCACACACACAGAGGGAGGCAAACACACAGACAGACATACCTATCCAAATAAGATCATCGTTCTCACACCACTATTTACCCTGTAAAACACATTTACATAAATCAAATTTTGGTACCCAATTTTCTCTCTTTTTCAGCCATTGCCGGACCATGTAACCAGGCTGTGGCTTCAGTTGTTGCTTCTACACCCCCAAAAGTATATATTTTCTGAATCCGTGGACCTTTGGCTAGGTGCTAAAACTCAATGTGGCCTGTTCTCAGGTAGTATAGGCTGTAAAAAGCATCTCCAACATGTGTCGTTCTTTTGCGCATTTGGACTATGGTTTTGTTTTTTCGATCATTGATTGGAAACCTTTTCTGAGGTTTTCTTTGTATATTGTTGTTTTAGCACCTCAAGTTGGATGTAAAGAATGTACTCCATGTGAAAAATGTCATGATAAAAACATTGGTATTTCTGAGTGCTGGTAAGAGTTCTATATACGGCAATTTTCGTAAATTCACATCCACACCGACAGTGCTTGTGAAGAGGTCCATTTTTCCTGGTGAAGATCAGACTATGGGATCTCAGGAATTAGTGTTGAAAATTTGAACCAATTATATGCATTGTAACCAAAGTTACGCCGTTTTCCGGGCGGGGTGCCGTAAAGCTCAGAGGGCCTTAAGTGGGGGCAAGATCTGTAAGTAAGTCCCACCAGTGGCGCATAGCACTCTGCATACAAACCAGAAAACTACCCAATATGAATACAATCATGCAACCTGGTAACCTCATTCTAAAAATGTATAGTTAATTGTTGTAGTGCATGGCAGGAGGGCCTTATGGAAGTTATGGCTTGTTTAATAATAGTGCCCGACATGTCGACAGGTACTACTACTAGGTTAGCCTGAGGGCCGTAGAAGAAGAAGGCCTCAGTACATAGCCACCACAAGCTAGTACAGCACGGGAGCAAAAATCTTCACACGGCTTGACATTTCACGGAGGTGCATGATCATTCATTGCGACACCGCTGGACCCCGAGCCTGAGGACCGGAATGCAGCGTGGCATTAGACAAATCCCGGGGGGGGGGGGGGGCATTATTTCTAAAGTTTTCGGTCTCTGCCCGAAAAGTTCTACATAATTATGCACAGTATATGGCGAGTTCTGCCAGGCCGGCTTGTGGCTAGGCTGTGCCATGTCCACACGTCATTCCAACACTGCAACAGCTCAGTGATATAGGCATTGTTCCGAGTATTTTGTTACACTATCGCCATACCAGTCACATAATAAAAATTTCCGTTGTCCTTGTACTTCGTTGGTTCTCACTTCATAGCGGCTTCACAACGCAAGGCGCAAGTGCTGGATGCACTGCACAGCACTGTGTTACCACACTCAGCTCTTCCCCTCGTTCTCCTGTCTCTAGACAATGACGATCAGTCTGCGGTTATGATAATTATAATGATCAATACAATGCTACGCAGCAGCAGCAGTAAACAGCACTGAGTTGAAATCGATCACCCAGCAGTAGATTACTCTCTACCAGGCAGCATGGTACAAAAATAGATAAGTCTGAAAAAAGTGGGTGAGCAGTAAACCGGCTCTCTCTGCATTGCCAT